AGTGACACCATCCAACTTTAAACTTGATCTGTATTATGTGGTAATAAGCATTGTATATACGTTTCATAACATTTGCTTGAGGCAAACTAAAGTTAGAGAATGGAAACGAAAAATTCAGCAATTTTTCCTTTTGTAAAGGGGCATAACTCTAGAACAGTTATAGTGACGCCACCAAAATTCAAACTTGATCTGTGTTTTGTGGTAATAAGCATTGTGTAAAAGTTTCATAACATATGGTTGAGGAAAACTAAAGTTAGAGAACGGAAACCAACTTTGGAACGTACGGACGGACGTACAGACAGACAAGGGTAAAACTTAATGCCCCCTCCTCTATGGCGGGGGCATAAAACGTAACAAAATAACACCTTGTGTGAACATATATGCAGCAGGCTAAAAATCTGGCTCAGTGTGTCAGTCTAGTACAAAGCAGAGATCATATTCACATCATATTAACATGTTCTCTCCTGAAAATGCATTTAATTTGCCACTGGATGTTACACATCCATTCAACAATTATCCATCCATTATAAATAGTTTTTCATATTACAATGCAGGAAATATATATCTGTATTATTTCCTCATATTGTAAATTAGGTTACTGTGAGTGTTTTCCTACCATCTGTTCAACTGATTTATGTCTCTTTTTCAAGAGAGTTTGCGGCAGTTATTATTCTCGCGGCTTTAACATTTTGTAAATATTTTAAAGCAGTTGACAAATGTTAAGCAAATAATCCTATTAAAATAAAAAAAAAGGCTAAAACTCTGTAGGAAGAAAATAATAACCTTGAAAAGTAAGAGTTTTCATGTAATCTCATTTGTCTCTATTTCTTCCAATTATTTGAAACTACTACACTTACATTAGGAACGAGAGACATTGAAGCTCTAACTACTTTATCACATGACTGATTATTGCCTAATGACGACAAAAATCAATGTCAATAAAACGGCACATAAAAATCTTTATTAGTTACTGTCAATTACAGGATTTATATGCTGTATTACAATTTCTGTTTGCACTTGTTTATGGAACATGACAATTGCTTTTTCAAGGTCAATCCAACTTGGTTTTTTTTCAAATAGAAATTGAAATTCTAAAAATCAATAGAAATTCAATTAACGTTGACAAAAACAACACAAATCAAACACTAAACCAGATAATTAACTATGCAGTGTACATTTTTTAAACTTAATAAAAACCATTTGCAAAGTGTCAAACAAATAATTATTGAAGACAGCTAATAACTTTTAAGGCAATTCAACTTTGAATACAAAAAATAAACATGCATAGAACTTTATTTTATCACTAATGCAGGGTTGCACATTAAGGAAATGTCAGTTTATGTTCTAAATCAGACTTCACCTAACCATGGATGTACTCTAAGATTAGACTAATCATTCAACGCTATAACCTGTAAATCAAGGAGCTCTGAATATTTCACGAACTTTCAAGGTTATAAAAAGAATTAGCACTATAAAATTTCAAACATTTACATAAAAAAAATGCACATTCTTTAATACAAACATTATATTTTATACACTTTGAACATAGGAAAAGAATTGGCACTAGCAAGCAGGCAAATTGAGTGTTTAAATTTGGAGCAAAAAAAATGCTTTCTTTTCTAAATAGACTCCTGCCAAAATTATATACCAGCTAATCATGCTAATAATTAAAATTTTATTTTATTGTTCCTTTTCGTTTTGCATTACTACATGTATCAGCTCAGTAAAGCAATTAAGACATGTTCTATGCAAACAACCATTTTTAAATTGTTGGTACAATGTTTCGGACAATTTTACATTCACAATATCAGGATTGTTTGATGAAATATTTATCATAGAACATGATAGAACATGATTCTTAATCTTTCTTTTGTCCGCCAACCCCCTTTTTCATGAAATCTGCTGAAAATCAGTTGAAAAGGAGTGAAAAACAAGCATTGTTAACACCTTGATAAATTATTTATGGATGTTTATTGTTAACTTTTTATGAAGGACAGTTAATGTAGTGTAAGGGAGGTAAATCATACAAATAAAAGATCAAAGAGAGGTATTGGTTTAAAACATATATTTACAGTACTTTTATACTTGTCACATTTCTTTTCTACCCAAAAACATGATGTTAAAATTCTAGTGTTTCCCCTATCACACAAAAAGGGCATGGTAACTTGATTGAAAAAGGGCATCTAGAGCACGCAAAAATTTATAAAAAGGGCACCTACAGTGTATGGAAAATTAACAAAAGGGCATCTACAACTATGCTGAAAACAAGAAAGGCAATAAATTGTCATATTGCATTGGTAAATATGGACTTGCAGTTGTTGATGGAATCAGAACTCAAGATAGCAAGTGTATTGTTTCAAAATAATATTGTATATAATCTTTAAATAAAGATGAAAATCAACATTATTTCGGGTAAGAACAAGGGATCAAGGATGTATGTATATTACTAGCTATACATCTTTGTCAGACTTTGAAGGACTAAGGCATAAATTTACTAGGCAGTAATTACATGATTTGACTGATGTGGCACTTAAATATCAAGATTAGGATATAAGATCTGAAAATCTAGTTCAAAATTTCACTTCAATTAGTTTCAGGGGACAGTTCTGATCAACAAAAGTTGGGCCCCTTTTTTCTAAACCAGGATTCACAGTATAAATGAACTTGTAGAACTTTGTAAGACTATTAAACTGCATAATCAATATCCTTATAAAACGTTTAGATCGATATTTATAATTCATTTCTATAAAGTTGGAACCAAAGAATTGTACAAATTCTTATTGGAACGATTCTAATAACTGTAAATTGTAAATTAATCGAGAATTGATCACGTTTACTTTCGATTTACAAATGAAATGTAAACGGGAAGTGACAAGTAGATAATAAATTCAGAATGAATCCGGATTCATCTACGGATTGGTTTGTTTTTAAAAAAGGCAGTAAATTATCACTTTTTGAATTTGATTTGCTTAGTAAGTAGATATAAGAAGATGTGGTATGAGTGCCAATGAGACAACTCTCCATCCAAGTCAAAATTTATAAAAGTAAACCATTATAGGTCACAGTACGGTCTTCAACACGGAGCCTTGGCTCACACCGAACAGTAAGCTATAAAGGGCCCCAAAAATTACTAGTGTAAAACCATTCAAACGGCAAAACTATATTTGTCTCTTTCATTATTTTAAACTAAATTTATTTCGTATTTTACGTTTTAGTGTCTATAAATTCATAGGAATACTTTCACGCATGCGCAGTATATCGTAAACAGTAAAGGAAGCACCTGTTTGACTCGTGAAAACTTTTCTGGATGTTTTGAATATAGTTCTATCTTTTTAATCACAATTGAATGTTTTATACCAAAGATCACAAAAATACGATCATTTGACGAAACTATGACAAACAAACTGCAAATTGTGATCATTTTAGAAATATTAAAATTAATAAAAAGCGAACTGTCCGGGGGAAAACAATTTTGTTCAAATGACGAAACTACGACAAACGAACTGCAAATTGTGGTCGTTGGCCTTGAGAAATATTGAAATTAAAATGCCGACTGACTGATTTTACTGGGGAAAAATATTTTTGGTGGTCAATTATGAGGTTTATTAATAATTATTAACAGATAAGTGACCCATCCGATGCTGATGGTGATAAGCGGATTAACTGTAATCACAACTTTATAACACCTGTTGTAAATGTTAATTAGCTGAGGGTCATAAACTTGTCAGAAACATGAAGACAGGAAGAAAGGGCATTTTTGAGACAATGGTGTCTTCCAAAGAAGTGAAAAAAGGGCATGGTGTCATTTAGTAAAACAAAAAAAAGGGCATGGCATCATTTAAAAAGGGCATAGCGTCTATCCATGCTAAACATGCTTGGGGTAAACACTTAAATTCTAAAAGAATCAATCAATTACAGGTTTTGTTATCATAAAAGTTATTGGGTGTTTGAGATATATGCTTTTGTATAAACTTGAATCAAAATAAATCAAGCATGTAAGTAGGTCAAATTTATCTACTTTTGCCTACATGTGAAGTGCATCTTTATACAACTTTGGATGATCTTACAAATTACAGCGCCGATTTTGATGTAAACTCTCAGGCATTAATCTGCAACACAATTTTAATCTAAATATAGGCCTATTTCACATGCAAATTTTTTTAATATCCGATTTCACCTGAAATTTATCTTTCAATTCATGCAAAATTGTATAAATTTCTAAATTAAATGGACACATGCCTCAAAAACAAAATGTCAAATTAACCCCTGATATCATCAAAGACAATAGGGGATACAAATTTGATGCTGAATTTTATGTTTGTATCACTGTGCAACTTACATTTCCTGAGATAGTTTTTTTTAAACATTTACAAGTGTGGAATGTAGCTCAGGTATTTTTAAACATAAAACAAGTGTGGAATATAGGTCAGGTAAACACACTTTTATATTAACATTTTTATGATGCTATGACATGCATGTGATGGAATTAACAGGATATATGGTTTAATAAATGCATACTCAACATCCCAATGTACTAAATATGACCTTAAGCCAAGAAAGTCCTTTTTGTTGCTGTTCTTTATCTCAAATCCCAATTGGGCTTTAACATAGAGCAAAATTTGACACCTCACTGACAAACTATAGGAAAGACTGTCCCTAGCATAGGTTTAAGCAGAAAAGACTGCCTATAGCAAAGGGTTAAGCAGGAAAGACTCCCTAACACAAGTTTAAGCAGGAGAGACTTGTCTCTAGCACAGGTTTAAGCAGGCAAGACTGTCCCCATCAGAGTTTTAAGCAGGAAAGACTGCCTCTATCACTGGTTTAAGCAAAATTATTTGCTTGATGTTGATATCACTACAACTGTGCATTGAATACTGGCACAGATGTGGGGTATGCATAAAGTACTCCAATAATCCTCCAAATCTTTTTTGATGCACATTTAAAATTGTATTTATTATTACCTTCAATGAATATAATTTATCATAGTAAAAAATACAAACCTGGAATTAATGACTGAACTTTTCCTTGATGGTAATGCCCTAGGGTAATATGTCGCTGATTAGAACCTTCATATACAAAATACAGTGGAGGTCGAACATTGGCTTCTTCTGGTATCTCTATTGTGATAATGTTGCCACCCTGTAAATATATCATATAATATCTAAATGTTGATTTCTTCTTCTTCAGTGAAATGGTCTTTACAAATTTATATTTACAAAGAGTAATGAGTTGTTGATAATTACTACAGCTGATACAACACTTCGATTGGATGCAACATTTATAAAAAATTGATTGGAACATGATATACATGTACACGGAAAACCATGAAGTAGGTTTTCCATGAAGTCCATTGCTAATTTAATACTATTAAAAATGCGTAGATTTTAAATGTACATTTTTTTCATACAAAAATGGAAAAATATATAAATTGAGAAAATATAATTAATAATGGATATATGTCAATCAATATTAATTTAACATGGAGTAATTTTGGTCGTGTATATTTATAATACTACTAGTACATAGTATTATTGTAACAATTCACAAAGAAGATATTGCTTGATAGATACAAGTACATATACATATCCTTTCTTGTGTATGCCATGAACATATTTTATGGTGAGCATGTATGAAGTGATCATTATTCCTCATGTATAAATGTTAATTTCCAATGATTTTCATTATGTCAAATTGGAATTAATTCTCTAAATTCCCAGAAAAGGAACATCCACATATGCATATATACCATTACACTAATTGATTTTGTTAGAACATATAAAAAGCAAGTCTAATGCCAAATAATGTATACTCATGTACACGCATGGACAATGTATAATTGAAAGTTAACACATAGAATCATGCTTATAAATGTATTGCTGGCAATATTTTAATTCCAAGCAATATGGTATCAAATTATGAATTCTTACTGTTGGCATAATGAAATAACTTACATAAACTGGTGATTCTGTCGTTGAAAATGCCATAAAGCTTTCCTCTGTAAAAAAAAACCAGTTTACTAAGACACCTAAATTCTGCTGTTACAAAATATCTAGCTTGCATATAAAATTGATTGATTGATTTTTGCTTGCTCAAGGTCCAGTGGCAATTATTTCATGCATATTCAGAATGGGAAACTACTGACAATTAATACAATCAATAAATAGATTCTGAAAGGACGCATCCTAGGAATGAAAAAGGGGGTGAGTGGAATTTGAACTGCCACTGGAAATCTATGGTATATTGGATAGGGGAAGAAATCTTGCCTTGCAGCAGACCACTTACAGACCCCTCAAAAAGTTATTGCAGGCTTTCTTTTATAAGTAGAGAGGCCACTCAGGGTGGCAATCTCAAACTAGAGGCTCTCAAGAGCCTGTGTCGCTCACCTGACTCTACTTTGGTTTTAGAAATCATGTAAAGATAGATAAAAATCATAACAGATACCCAAATAATGATTGAGGCCAAATTTTGATAAATATTGGTCCCGTTATTTAATAAAATATCCTGGTGGCCATCTTGAACAGTAAATCGGCAACAAAGTAGCAACACTTGGTCAGCACTTCATAAGGAACATTCATGCCATGTTTGGTTTCATTCCATTCAGTGGTACTCTAAAAGAAGACATTTGTATGTATTTCCCATAGGGTCCTATGTTAAACTAAGCCCCCCCCCCCTAGTGGCCATCTTGGATGATAGATCGACTGCAAAGTAACAACACTTGGTCAGCAACTCATAAGGAACATTCATGCCATGTTTGGTTCAATTCCATTCAGTGGTTCTCTAAAAGAAGACAATTGTATGTATTTCCCATAGGGTCCTATGTTAAACTAAGTCCCCCGCTGGCGGCCATCTTGGATGATGGATCGGCTGCAAAGTAACAACACTTGGTCAGCATCTCATAAGGAAGATTCATGCCATGTTTGGTTTCATTCCATTCAGTGGTTCTCTAAAAGAAGACATTTTTATGTATTTCCCATAGGGTCCTATGTTAAACTAAGTCCCCCGCTGGCGGCCATCTTGGATGATGGATAGGCTACAAAGTAACAACACTTGGTCAGCACCTCATAAGGAACATTCATGCCATGTTTGGTTTCATTCCATTCAGTGGTTCTCTAAAAGAAGACATTTGTATATATTTACCATAGGGTCCTATGTTAAACTAAGTTCCCCGATGGCGGCCATCTTGGATGATGGATCGGCTACAAAGTAACAACACATGGTCAGCACCTCATAAGGAACATTCATGCCATGTTTTGTTTTATTCCATTCAGTGGTTCTCTAAAAGAAGTCATTTGTATGCATTTCCCATAGGGTCCTATGTTAAACTAAGTCCCCCGCTGGCGGCCATCTTGGATGATGGATTGGCTACAAAGTAACAACACTTGGTGAGCACCTCATAAGAAACATTCATGCCATGTTTGGTTTCATTCCATTTAGTGGTTCTCTAAAAGAAGTCATTTGTATGCATTTCCCATAGGGTCCTATGTTAAACTAAGTCCCCCGCTGGCGGCCATCTTGGATGATGGATCGGCTACAAAGTAACAACACTTGGTCAGCACCTCATAAGGAACATTCATGCCATGTTTGGTTTCATTCCATTCAGTGGTTCTCTAGAAGAAGTTCAAAATGTAAAGGGTTAACGCCGACGCCGGACGATGCCGGACGACGGACGCCAAGTGATGAGAAAAGCTCACTTGGCCCTTTGGGCCAGGTGAGCTAAAAAAGGCATCAGATTTGATATCCCAATTCTGACCAAACAGAATTGGCTGCTAATTTCATCACCCCATTCAGTCAGACTTACACCCCACTTTGGCGAGGGTAGGAAGAAGACCAAGGTGACCATATCTATATACCCCATTCACCCTCGGGGGATGCATGTAAGAGATTGGTACCTAGCCATGAAAAGATGAAAAATAAAGAGAGTAAAAAGAGATAGGCAACAGATGCAGAGTCAAAGAAATATGAATAAAAGATTTGGGGTAGATGTCAAGTGGCAGCAATCAAATGATAGAAAACTAAAATACATTTCATAGTTTATATTGTCCTAGAAATGTATTGGTGACAACTTTTTTGTCTCACCAGGTGAACAAAGGTAACAAAAAAGTGAATTCTTGTCATGTATTTTTGTGGTTTTATATAAACAAATGTTCAAAAGAGGAACCAGAAAATGATCTTACATAATAACTCAACTGTTTTCATGTACCTTATGTATACAGATAAACCAAATGTGTAAGTTTTTTTTGCCCTCACGTCTTAAAAACTTACAATGTTATTTTCCATAATGAAAAAACTTTGACATCTCAATTCTTTATTTGTATAAATTAAAAGAGATATCAATCATGAGCTATACAACTGCCACAAGCAAAGAGTATATCTTTAGTAATGTTTACATGTAAAACAAGTTGTAAGTAGATAGATTACATATAGTAAAGCATCACAGTGTACTAATTATAAATGACGGAATGAAGCCAAAGATACTGACCTTCAGACTTTTACATGTACATTGTACATGTTATTGTTGACCTGTTTGGCATATGTTCCAAATGCCTATATTTACACTCCATTCATTGCATTTATTCTTGTCATTTTTCACAATTTGCGCTAGAATTTCATCAACATCTTAAATTTTGTATTTTTTTTCCAATTTTACATGCACTTTATTAATCTGATGGTAACACTACACGCACTAGTTAACATTTAGGTAGAACAAACTCAATAACACACAAGGTAGCAAGTAAATTAACAAACATCCAACATACATGTTTCTGCCTAAATTTTGAAGTCAAAGGCGTAAATATCCTACATGTCTTCCTTTAATCAAAATGTAAACAAACAGTTTAATGTGATCTGAATATAAACCTGATAAATCCAGTGAACTACAAAACTCAACACCATAAACTCAGCATCTTATCAGGTAACAACAAAAGGTGTTACACCTTACAGGTGATCTAAAACCTAGGTAATCCTTACAGGTAAATAGAACACCTGATTTAAAGATAGAAATACTTATAAGGCTATACATGGGGTAGTTCTATCAAATGTATGTATGGTTGTATATGGACAAGTTTCTTCAAATGTTGGAATGTCAAAAAAAGAAAATTCAATCACAGAAACATGTAATACAAATAAAGATTAGGATTTATTTATGCCTTATACTTTACCCTTTTTAATGAAATATCTTATATGGAAATCGAAGGACCTTGAATCCAAAATGTCTAATAATTAAATTAATGATCATTACAGCTGAACTGTGTTTTTCTATCACAATTGCAAATGAAATTTTTGAAAGAATTAACATATTCCCAGGTTTTTTCCTAACATCACATAGTGATAAATATAATATTTCAGAACTAAAGTTGGCATTTTTAAGTTCAATTACCTTATAACTTCCCTTTTTAACCTACAGCTGGTTTCATAATGACCCTCATAGAACCATATGATGGTCTTTTAAATACCCATTGTAATAAACAGAAAAAGATCTAATTTGTTAAGCTTGTTTATAAACAAGTTTACAATAATAGATCACTATCGAATGTGTCATATATATACTTTACCTTTGAACATTTACTATTTGAAATTAAAGTGAGCACTGGGCTAGGTTTACATCATGGTATTGCCACAACATAGCAGAGCAAAATTTTGTACATTTTTGTGCATGTACCACAGAATCGTATTTGAGATTTCCTAATAACTTTTTAAAAATTCATACATATTCTAAATTCACCCTCTCAGTATCACTTGAAGTCCAGATCAATCCTTTCATTCAAATTCAAATTTAATCAAAATAACATTAAAATTCAATTTAATCATGTAGAGAGATGTCATGCATATAATTCTAAATTCAATATTATACATGGTGTATAAAAATGATACCCAATTTCACAAACATCTGAAAGCTATTTTTATTACAGGTTTTTTAATATTTGAACTTGAAGTTGAAGGTTTAGTTTGCAGCAGATTTTAAAATACTATTGTCTAACTATTTATCACAGTCCAGAAGTCATATATTTCAACTCCATTATCTTCCCTTTGACCACTTCCCTGTCTATCATAGTATCATTGTATAACTTTTTGTAGATAACTAATATAACTTCTCAGTTGTAATTTTGTTTCAAAAACTTTTTTTTCTTCCATATTCCAAGCCAAAGTCCAGTTCACCCTGACAACTCACACACACACACACACACAATTTAATATCTTCTCTTTCACTCTTGTCTTCTTTTTTTGTTATTTGCTTCTCTCATACAATATTATGTACGGTAAAACCATCACAGAAATGTTACTTTATATAATGAAATAATAATCTTTAAAACTTTATAAACAATAACCTTTACAAAAGCAATATGCATATATATATATATATATATATGAATGATATTTAAGTACAGTCATTTAACTGACAAAGATTCTTTTCATATTGACTTCAACTTTTGGATATAAATAAAATGTTGTCTTTTTTAGTTTCTTGACTATTTCACATTTAATCTTTCTTAAGTTTTGCTTTTTTTCTAGCTCTCTCTGTTGCCCAATACTTCCTTTCGCTTGGTCTATGGTGTGCCTTTACATTTGTACCTCAGTCTTTGTTATAACTTTTTAGTCTTTTTCAATATAAATACTTTCAGTAGTTTTACAAATAAAATGCTCCGCTGGGCACAGCTTGATACGACCACAGAGGTCGAAACCCTGAACAGTTGGGGCAAGTATGGACACAACATTCAAGCTTGATACAGCTCTGATTTTGGATTGTGAATAAATATTTGACACAGCATAGGTTTCTGACACAGAATGAATGTTAGAAAGAACTTACAAAAATTTAATTTACCTATTATGGTCCAAAAATCAAAAATCTAAATACATGGTTAGATTCAGCATATCAAAGAACTCCAAGAATTCAATTTTTGATAAAATCAAACTAAGTTTAATTTTTGACAGAAAAAAAATCCCCCCCCATATTTTTTGAACCCCCTTATGATTCATCACCCCCAAAATCAATCCCAGCCTTCCCTTTGTGGTATGGTACCTTGCAGTACAATTTCAGAGAGACCCATACACTTGAACACAAGTTATTGTCTGGAAACTAAAAAAAAAAAAATGCTTATTTATGGCCCCTTATTCCTAAACGTTTTGGGCAATTACCCCCAAACTCAATTCCAGCTTTCCCTTTGTGATATGGAACCTTGTAATGCAATTTCATAAAGATCCATACACTTACAAACAAGTTATTGTCCTGAAACAAGAAAAAATGCTTGTTTTTTGCCCCTTTTTGGCCCCTAATTCCTAAAATTTTGAGGCAATTACCCCCAAAATCAATCCCAGCATTCCCTTTGAGATATGGAACCTTGCGCTACTATGTCAGAGAGGTCCATACACTAACACACAAGTGATTGTCTGGAAGTTACAAAAATGCTTATTTTTGGCCCCTAATTCCTTAAGTGTTGGTACCATAACCCCCAAAATCAATCCCAACCTTCCTTTTGTGGTTTTGAACCTTATGGTAAAATTTCATAGAGATCAATTCACTTAACCTAAAGTTAGAGTGCAAAAACCAAGTGTCTTCTGACGACGACGACACTGATGAAGCCAACGTCATACCAATATACGACCGCAAAATTTTTTTGCGGTCGTATAAAAATAATTAAAGAAACAAAACCATTTTCGACTACTGTGAATTCTTATTTTCATGGATATCAACTTTGGCGGATTGAGGAAAAAATCATATTTTCCTGGTTTTTTTTACTTCATGGTTTTGAATAAGTCTTTGAAGTAGGTTTTCCATGAAAATGTCAGGAGCCTCTGGCCTTTGTTAGTCTTGTATGTTTTTTAATTTTAGTTCATTTATATGTTTTGGAGTTTAGTGCGACGTCCACTTTCACTGAACTAGCACACAATTTTATTTAGGGGCCAGCTGAGGAACACCTCCGGGTGCGGGATTTTCTTGCTGCATTGAAGACCCATTGGTGGCCTTCGGCGATTGTCTGCTCTTTGGTAGGGTTGTTGTCTCTTTGACATTTTAAAATTGAGAATGGAAATGGGGAATGTGTCAAAGAGACAACAACCCGACCATAGAACAGACAACAGCAGAAGGTCACCAACAGGTCTTCAATGCAGCGAGAAATTCCCACACCCGGAGGCGTCCTTTAGCTGGCCCCTAAACAAATATATATACTAGTTCAGTGATAATGAACGCCATACTAAACTCCAAATTGTACACAAGAAACTAAAATTGAAAATAATACAAGACTAACAAAGGCTAGAGGCTCCTGACTTGGGACATTCCCCATTTCCATTCTCAATTTTACTACATACAGTCCTGTAGTAAATTTGTTAAACAATTAGATTTGTGGTCTACCTGTACTCACAAAAACCACAAAATTGGTATCCCAGGAATAACAATGAATGCACAGCATTATTAAGTCTGGATAACCATTTAATTTGATAAGTCATAAATCAACCTGGTGCTCAATAATCAAACTAATACTGCAATTAATAAAAATAATCACTTAACCTTCCACAGCCTTGTGGTATTTAAATCTCCTATTTGTATGTGCAAAGATTAATATTTTGGTGTTCTACAGAAATTAAAATACTTATCATTGTTATGAATTAAAATGTCAATATTTTCCTTTCTATGAAACAACGTATAATCTATAGCTAAGATCAAAGTCATTTAATAAAATTTGTTACAAAATTAGACCACTGAACTAAACTATCTAACATACATATAGTATTTAAATCTTATGAAAACAACCAATCATCAAACCTAAAAAGCCTTAAACTTTCAAACCTTCCCCAATCTTCTATTCTAGGCTTTTTTGTCAAAATATTACAAATCAGCATTTTGACTTAAATTGACAAAAACTAAGATTTTACCCCATTTCCCCCAAATTTTCATAAAAATCTAAACTTAACTTTTATAGAATATAAAATATGAGGTGTCAGGCTTCTAAAAAATGAACCCTTTTATTTATATTATCCTTTCAGTTCTATTCGAAGGACAAAAATGTACCAAAAACCTAAAACGGACTAGACAGAATCTTTTCAGGACAAATTCATGTTAATAATACATGTAACTCTAAAAAACATTTTTGTCTTCCTGTATGTATCTTAATCCCAATGAAACACTAAAACGGTCATAAATGGTCACCAAAATTCTTATTATAGATCTAACAAATAATATAGTTACCATTTTCTACCATGCTTCAATTAAAATCTGTCAAGTTCTTTTAAAACTGTTTTGTTCAATATTCACATAAAGGTATCCATTTTTTTATTTTGTCTGAAACACAAAAAAAAAATACAGATAATACACACCGGGTACATGTATATACATGTACATGACAATAACATAGAAATTGAAAATGTAGGATATATATTATAGTTGGTAAAAAGTAACAATTTATACACTCAAAATCTTATTAGATAGCATGGAACATTCATTTGCCACTTGCTTTGCTATCACAAATAACAGCAAACCAATTTGCAATCTACAAATGTACAGTACACTGCTGGCAATATCTGGTGTAGGAAGATACACTGTGCATATATATATATTAAGATCCATTTATTACATCGGTGATCCGTTTATTTGGCAATCGCCAATGGCAGTCAGCAGGGTTTAAGAACATTTGGTGTTCGACCTGTTAGTCAAATGCGTTTGTTAAAATATACTTTTTCACTTTTTTGGTCTTTTGGATAATGTTGTTTGTGCTGTATTTAGACCCCTCTAACAAGAAATTTGTTTTGCATGCACACGTATAAAAATTGTGGTTTTTATCCAACGCAATCATAGGTTGGGCAATTACCCCCAAACTCAAATCCAGCTTTCCCTTTGTGATATGATACCTTGTAGTACAATTTCATAAAGATCCATACACTTACACACAAGTTATTGTCATGAAACTAGAAAAATGCTTGTTTTTTGCCCCTTTTTTGGTCCCAAACTTTGAGGCAATTACCCCCAAAATCAATCCCAGCATTCCCTTTGTGATATGGAACCTTGTGGTACAATGTCAGAGAGATCCATACTCTAACACACAAGTTATGTCTGGAAGTTACAAAAATGCTTATTTTTGGCCACTAATTCCTTAACTGTTGGTACCATAACCCCCAAAATCAATCCCAACCTTCCTTTTGTGGTATTGAACCTTATGGTAAAATTTCATAGAGATATATATCCATTCACTTAAACTAAAGTTAGAGTGCGAAAACCAATGGCAATGTGTCTTTGGACGACGACGAAAAAGGCGGACGATGACGACGCCAACGTCATACTAATATACGACCACAAATTTTTTTTTGAGGTCGTATAAAAAGTGCGAACCTATGGGGTGCAAATGTGAAAGAGGCGAACGTGACTTTGGGCGAACTGACCCGGATTCAGTTGAAAGGGCTAATTTTCAAGAACTACAGGACTGCCAAGTCTCACAATGCATTTTCATGTTTATTTGGCGGCATTTTCCTTTGATCTTTACAATTTTGGCCAAATCTCACGCATTTGCTTCATGAAAACTTGGCAGTACTGGACCAACATGTACAAAATGTTTATATATATATTCTCTGACAGATGGAGGTGCGTCCAAAAGAAAAAGATATAAAACACACACGATCTTTGAAGCAAATTGGAGGCACCAAGCATAAGAGTTGATCTAAATTTTAAGATAGTTAAAAATCACGAATGGTAAAGGGGTAAAGTCAAACTTTCATAAAGTTTGTGACTGTGTTCAGGTGTGATCAGTCTACCTATCACGCTTCCGGTCTAAGATATGGCAGCTTTCGACCAGTTTAAAAACGATTTTTGTTGCAAATTGATCATAAAGTAGAACTTTCGTAGATAATCTATGTATAACATCTTTCTGTCTTGCTTAAAACATTCTTATAAGTGTTCATTACCTGTGTTATTATTTAGACCGCCATAATATGTCCTACGGACATTCCAAGACGTCAATGTTTGTATCACGTGACTATTGAGTTAAAAAGATTGTAATGCGTTCAACAAGTAACGATATATGCAAGAGTTATGCAGCCTTTCTGGTGATAAAACAAATATTTGCACCAGAAAATTTTGTTCTCGATAAAAACAAAATAATTAAAACTGCTTGAATTAATTTTATCAGTCCTTAATTAAAAATGGAGGGATAGAATGTAGATAATTTCACATTTATTATTTTTTTTTGTAAGAATATCGGTATCCGGTCGTTCCGTCCCCAAACCGATCCGGCCCCAAGTCGATCCGGCCCAAAGTCGATCCGTCCCAAGTCGATCCGGCCCACGTCGATCCGTCCCTACGTCGATCCGGCCCCATAATAAAATATGAATAAACTATATTGACTTTGGAGGATTTTGTGACAAATTTTAACAGTATAAATGGAATTTGTAAAAAGTATCGTTGATGGATGAAAACAGGTAAGTGAGGTATAGGAGTACCAGTCAAAGAATTATTTTACATCGATACGAAAATGAGTGTGATTGTGTCTGTTTGTATAGCAGCTTCAACATATTTTAATATGAAGTTATTTTCCATGATAACTTTGAATGTCATGGCGATTTTTATTTTATTTAATTCACACACAGAATAATGTTTTTGAGCTTTAACAAATTTACCGTTAAAATTTAACAGTACACCAAGGTAACAAAATTCATCCACTATGTCAATAGTATTGCCATCATAATACCAAATTTCTTCGTCTTTTACAAAACCTCCGTTTCTAAATACCATAATTTTTGTTTTGGCAATATTTACAGTCAAACCCCATTTACAAGTATATAATAATAATGTGTCTAACATATCTTGCAAGCCAATAACTGAATCAGAAAATAAAATCATATCATCAGCATACATAAGTAAAAAAAATCAGAGGCTTCTATAATACATGTTTTTTTTTTGTAATATCGAATATAGTCAATATATTTTTTTTAAAGTTGACAATATTTTGAATAGTTTGTGTAGATAATAAAACAAGTTATATGAGTATCCATTATTCTTTATTGCAAGATAATAACAAAATAATTACACTGAATGCACATTTTCACTCTCTAGAATATAATATCAGCATTACTATAATATAACAATAAATTCATACACACTACCAAACACACTATCTCTGACACTCACATAAATATATATAACTCTTAAATCATTTACACTAACAGTTACACTGTCACTTACATAATATAAAAGGGGTCACACTTGCAGCACTACAATAACATATACAGTAACTATCATACGCAGTACGTATACATATATAATATATATCCATTAATCTTGAAAACTTGTAATGAAAACATAATCAACATAGTTGTTTTAAACTCATCTGAAGAAAATATTTGTCAAAGGCCAATTTTTTTTTACCGTACACCTTTTACATTATAATAAAATTCATAAACATTTATGAATTACAATTAATATATATCTTTAGTTTTATTCCTTATAAATATATTTTTTTTTTGGGCCGGATCGACTTTAAATATGGGCCGGATCGACGTTGGGCCGGATCGACGTGGGACGGATCGACTTGGGCCGGATCGACACGAAAGCAGAATATCTATGGTTGAATCATCACCATACAAATCCATGTTGGAGTGGATTAATCATCGATATAATTATAAGATAAGACAGGACCAAAATCTAAACCCTAAGGCATTCCATATAATACAATTTTTTTTAATAGATTCCACTGCATATTAAACTTCATGATGTCTGTCAAATAAAATGGCCATTTAATCCAATTTATCACGATGCTGTGTTCTGCATTCTGAGTTCTGCGATTTGAAAAGATTTGAGTTTTCTAACTGGCAGTAGTTTAGTTTAGGGTAAATAAGGTCAAACGCATAACTCGAATGATTAATCTAAAACAAGTTGCTTTCTTTAAAAAACTTGAAAGAAAAGCAACACGTGAACTGAGACCGCTGACTGGTAACCAAAACATGTTGCTGATTTTTTTGTTTTGTTTTGGCTTTCAGAGATTTGAAATAATTGACTGAATAGAATAATATAACGATGATGTTAAAACACCTTTATTGAAAATATGCAATTGGTGTAGATTCTTACACAAGTCAATTAAAAGCGATGTTGTACTTTAGTTGGAAATAGAGAAATGTATACAGCTACTTTATGAATTTACCTTTGAAGGCTTGAATATTTTACTTATTACTTGGGAGTGTTTATCAGTTTTTATTTGTGTTTAATATACATGCAAAGTCCTAATCCTATTGCAATTCTTAGTTTCTGCAAACCGAATATCTAAAGCAAATTGCACAGCCGGACCAATCTCAATTTGCTAAAATAATCTGAATGCATTTACTTCGTCTGTCATATCTTCATATTTTGTTTCCTTGATGGCTTCAAATATTTCTTATACTCATTATTGAAGCTGTCGTCTGTACTCACAGTAGATTTCGTATAGAGAAATTGAAAGTCCAATTTCCATGTGAAGTGTAACTCTGTAACAATGTTTCGTATTTTAGTTTTGAGAGTAAAACACCAGCTATATTGGGACCTCTTATAAACTGACAATTATTTCGGTCTATAAAAACATCCCAAATTTTAAGGATTTCCTGAAGTTACTTTAATCAATCCAAATTTTCTATAAAAAAAAGGATTTGTATAGTTACTATATAAATCCTTGGAAAAACTTAGTTCTAAAGAAGATTTATAAATACCCGAATATGCTCTCAAAAGAACCAATTAATAATAATAATAATAAAAGATATGTATCCTATGTAGATATATATAAATGTATAGATACCAGGATGAAAATGTTGTACGCCAGACGCGCATTTTGTCTACAAAAACTCATCAGTGACGCTTGAATAAAAAAATGTTAAAAAGGCCGAATAAAGTACAAAGTCGATGAGCATTGAAGACCCAAAATTTCGAAACAAAGGTTTTGCCAAATACATCTAAGGTAATCTATTTATTCCTTGGGAAGAAAATCCTTAGTATTTCGAAAAATTTCAAAGTTTATAATAGGACAGTCACTCACAAAAAGAAAAAGAAAAGAGAAACAGCTAGAGGTCAGAATACCTTAACTTATGATGACCATGATTCAGCGTCACATGTCCAGCTCTAACTGTCGTGTCCTGAATTTAGATAAGAAATGCGAAAATTCGCAATCCGCGAGTGAAATTAATATCTATGCATGCATGTGGTTTTCTTGCGCAGCGCAAGAAATAGTAAGTGGAAAGCGTACGCACTAGCTGATACTCTGGATTACAATACGCATTTGCGTCATCACGTATATTCATTCTAGGCTCAAATCTAATGCTAGTCGAATTCGGATGTCAAACTACCTACCTCAAGTGTTTTGACTCCGGATTCATTGCCATTTAATCCGAAATCTGTGTAAACGCAAACCGATGTTGTGTCGTGTGAACAGGGTGTAATTTAATAAAAATAAATCAAGACGGGTGTATGATAGCTGGTAAAACACAATTAATACTAGGGGCGGATCCAGCCATTTTTAAAGGGGGTTCCAACCATATGTCCCCATTCAAAAGCATTGTTCCAACCCCCGGTTCCGCCACTGAATACACAATTTTCGAAATCGTATATAATAGCTATTATATCTATGTTAATGTAGCCATCGTAGAGCAGTGTAATATAACGACTGAATTATTCGGGTTAATTATAATTATGCTTTCCGACCTTCGTTTTGTTAATAGTTTCTTCTTGCTTTCCAACATTTGCCCAGGCTGTAATTGGAAGTAAATAATGTCACGTGGTAAACGTTAAGCAGAAATAATCAGTTTATTATGAGACATAATGTATTAGTATACTATTCCCAGATTTATTGTCACAATACACAATGGCACGTTCTATCAAAAACTACACACAGAACGCACACAGGGGCCGTCTCAAATCACGAATTATATAATTGCGTTATCATTATACTTGACATGCTACTTAACATTCTGATGATGTTGCATTATAAATACGCATATGTTCTACCAAAAGGCAAGTAGGTGGCAATATTTAAATGATTTTTTTTTATTGCAATCGAGTATTTATTTTTTTTAATTTTCCGATCTACAAATGAACTTCGATTGTTGAACTATACAATGTCACGTGGTAGCCTATCCATAGAGGGATCGTATATCAAAGACATAAACAACTTCATGTATAAATGATCGAAACTTTTCGAGACGTTCCGAGAATCTTGTTTTCGGGGATATCGAATAGCCCATAGTAAACTGGACCCCTGTTGTGTTCACTTATCGCTACTGTTCGGTGCGAAGCTATAGATGGAACGGCGAACCAGTTTAAGCCCATAGTTCTAAGCTCCCAAAACTCGCCAATATATAACCCTCAGGGGTTTCACGCAAATAAAACGGTACTACTGACTTCTCTCGATCTGAGTTCTGCGATTTGAACAGATCTGAGTTTTCTAAAAGTATTTTAGGGTAAATAAGGTCAAATGTATTACTCAAATCTTTAAAAAAAAAACGGTACTAGCTATTTCTCTCGATTATATACTGTGTGTACTTTTATTTCAGTGTTGATTATCGAAAGTGTTCCTCAATATAGTCTTGTTTTAAGTGTAGTTGGTTGACTGCAGCATGGTCATATCCAGCGTACAAGAATGACTTTTTCCTCACGGTCCAGTATGTATTTATCTCAATAAATAACTCATATAACAACAATGACATAGTTAGTATAAACAGAGACATATAATACATTGTATTATATGTTTTTGGTATAAATTAAGAGAGTAAGATTCTGTCCTTCCGAACCCCATATGTAACTTAATAGACTAAATATTTGCAAGACTTTATCAATCATACTAATTCAATAATGAGAAAATTAAATATACTTATTGCATGACATTACGAATATACAAGTTTGTCACCGTGGTGGGATATCGTATATAAAAATCTTTAATAATTGTCACATTTGCAGAAAACTACTACATGTTTTAGAAATAGTAAACATTGAACTGGTCCGGCATCTTGTCTG